CACCTCGTGCCTCTGATAGCCTCCGCTGGCTGCTGGTCTCAGGTCGTAGAACTACAGCCTTACAACAGAGATGCAGAGCACAGCGTTTACGTTAATGCCGTCCGTCGTCAGTGGTGTAAGGCAGAAACCGACGGCGGAAAAACCATGGTCCCATTTCGCGACATTTAGGGCCTTTCGCTTGGGTTTTTTTACGCCACGGCAACATCTAGAACTTCTACTTCATTTACGGCGTCCAAGTTACCGTACCATCGATCTTTGAACCTCTCCCTTGTTCAGTATTTAGAGCTGTATGGTATAATCTTCGACTGGCGGGAGGACTACACCTCGACAATGACGTGTTCCTACCTCAGAGAGTTTCTCGGTCAGGGGTCACACACCACGACAGCACTGGGAATACGCCCTTCTTCTATCAATATGGCTAAATGGCTTCTTTTCATGACGTGGATAAAGAGTCCTTCCCAGACAGGAAACTACAGCATTACGGATCTCACAAGTTGTTAGTTATTCCAATCGCGCTGCGAGAGACCACTCTGGCCATGACAGGCCGTTTAGCCCTTTCTGACCAAATTTTTTTTAGCCTAAGTCTACCAAAAGTAGCTCTGTCTCACTCACCAAGTGTTGACGGCTGCATTCTCTGAAGCTTTCCAATACACACACTCCTTGGTAGCGTCATAGTCTGGCTGTTTATTACCCATCCAATAGGTTGGATTTGACAGCTGAAAGACTGCTATTGATAATTAGGTATAATTAGTAACTTGTTGTGATAAAACAGTACAATGTCGTACGGTCCAATTCCAGCATTACATTACCGTATCCTGAGACACGGTAACGTTCCACTGGAGGTGATGAAAGTCAAATTTTTTATGAGGAAGAATTACCGGCAACGGAGGTGTTCCATCTGGACCATCCCATACATAGCCAGTGTTGTTAGGATTAGCCAAACCGAGCCAAAAATCGAGATCGCTATTGAGACCTATGAAAACTTCCATGAAAAATGAAGTGAGCACGGAAATCCATGAAAAGTTTCCAAGCAATTGTGAGCTTTTCAATGCCTGGAAGGCTTCTTCGCAAGTTGAGCTGATAAATCTTACCTAGCAAGTAGTTGTGTTTTGTTTCGCTGAGATCATCGATGATACTACCGCCTGAGTCGTGACAGAACTGCTTGGCGTCAGAATAAGTGTACGGTGGTATCACAAAACGAATACAGTACTGCTGAACTTCATCCCAACCTTGATCGCACTCTGAAGAGACAAATGAAGGAAAATGAAAAAGGTGATTCTGAAAATAGGCCAGGAACACGATCATTGTTTGAAAATCAATGACGTGATTGGATGGCATTCCCGTGGACTACAGGGTGGCTACTAAATATTGGCGCATGGTTTATTGATCATATTTCCAAAAAGAGAAGCTATCATATCTTCAGAAGTTTATTTTCATATACAATAAAACATGAAAATTCATTACCAAAGAAAGTGCTCGAGATGGCCTCCTTTGGTAGCGATACAGGCTTGAAGTCTCTTTTCAACTGACATCACCGTGGGCCGCAAGTAGCTGACGTCGGCGTGACGTGAGTAGATCTTCAGACCAGAAGTGGCGCACGATTTGCAAAACGACAGGCAGTTGTTGGATCTGGCTAGCAGACATTCTGCTCGACCTTGTGTACACACAAGGAACCGTTTTTCAAATTTGTCATGGTTTGGGCAGGAATTACTTCTGAAACCATGACACCGCTTGTCTTTGTGGATGAATACATCAAAGCCAGCGCCCAGATCTACCCGGAAACAATTTTCACGTAATGCCCTTCTTCCAAGGACTCTTTTGACCTTCAGCGAACGTCATTGCATTCTTCAGCAAGACAGGGCGCCTCCACATGCCGCAAAATCAATGTTGGAGAACTGTGACCGTCATTTTCCAAGTTACCGGGCACAAAATGTTTGGCCATCTAAGTCGCCCGATTTGAACCAATTGATTTGGCGGTGTGGGGCTTCTTGAAGCAGAAGATGCCTTCTGAGCAACGTCGAAGTTTGGACTCCCTGAAGGCTTCCTTGGAGGAGGCGTGGAAGGAGCTTGACGTCAGCTACTTGCGGCCCACAGTGATGTCAGTTGAGAAGAGATTTGAAGCCTGTATCGCTGCCGAAGAAGGCCATTTCGAGCACTTTCTTCAGCAATGTACTGCCATGTTATAAGGTATATAAAGATAAACCTCTGAAGATGTAAAAGCTTCTCGTTTTAAAAATATGGTCAACAATCCATGCGCCAATATTTAGTAGCCACCCTGTATATCTCACACTAAAGAGTTCCCATAACTTCGGTAGCCTTACCAAACCCATTTTGACTGAATGGAAACTGTCAAATTGCTTGAGCTCTGTTGTGCACCTTTTACCTTCAAGTCAAGCAATTCCTGTGCTGTCCTTCACCAGGATTCTGAGATTCAAAATTCGCCTTGGAGGCCTAGTATACGATTGGAAGGCAGCCTATTAAGAATTGAGGTAAAGGTGATCAGTGGTGCCGGGAACCCCTTCGTTACCCGTTGATTTCCGCGCCGATGCGGCTCTCCGGTGCTGCCCTCTGCAACGCCAGGGCTCTCTGCGCTAAACGGCATGAGGCTCAGACAACGAAAGGGTGAGCGTACCCAGTCAGTAGCGTCGAGGGGATGATTGTGCTATGGCGCCGGGAGCATATCCATTCCGAAAAATTGCGTGCCGCAACCCTAGGGGATCCGCTTGTCTTTCCACTCGGTAATTTCCCATTGACTTGACCTTACCGTGGAAACCCTTCTATGACCTGAATATGTACAGGGTGGTCCAAAATTATGAGGACCAAGACATTGTGTCGTTAAAAACGCATAGTAGCTTGATGGACAAACAAACTACAGGGAAGTGTTTGTAACTAGTATCTCAAAGTAATTCCAGAATAGAATTGAGATCTGCCACTGCCGCGTTTACACGAGCCTTCAGACGAAGGGGGTGGCGCGTGCGGTGGCACGCAACTGAGGCGTGTCAAAATGTTTCCAGGCCTTCTGCTCTGCTTTCTTCAGGGGATCAACGTTTTGTGGGGCATTCATTACCCATGTCCCAGGGTGTAAAATACAGAATTCTAGAGCTGTTAGGTGGAGGGTTCCATTGTAACAATTCTTCGAGAGCAACAAACTCGAAAAATAGCTTCTTAGAGAATTTTTGCTCTATTCTTGGGTGCTCGGTCCAGTAAAACGTCCCAAGTATGGTACTCGAGTGGCTTCCTATCCACTATAGATGTGGAGTCTTTAGAGTGCCTGGCTGGGTTTTCACATCAATTTTTTCATTTTGGGAGTACGAAAGTCGACAAGGGGAGAGCTAGTTTCTGCATCTGATAATTGTCCTGGTGGTAACTGTAACTTTCGAGTCCCGAATTTTCCATCTGTGGTGGTTCCAAACTTATTGAAGAGTTGAACTGTTGCCATAATGAGCTTCCCTGATACGTTAGACTGCCGCTAGATGTAACGTGCCAGAGCCCTTAGTGAGTTCAATTTGAGGAATGACATAAAAGTGTTGCTCTTTCACTAGTTTTGAGAACTGCATGAAGTTTAGTTTCGAAAGGAAGAATACACTGTACCCTATCACATGGTGCACAGAAAAGGAAATGAAAATGGAGCGACTCGGAAAAAAGTGGATATGACTGCGCGCGCACGCGGTCCTCATAATTTTGGACCACCCTGTACTGAGAATATACGCTACCTGCACCAGATCCCATGCTGCTTACGGGATCACTCAAAACCGACATCGATGGCTGTTCGTTCCCTGAAAAATGCATTCCTCGAGAAAACTAAAAGCAGTTGACCTAGGTCAAAGCCATAAATAGAAGGGGTAAAAGGAGCAATTGTACAACTGCGATGTTGAATGGAGTCGAAGTAAAGTAGTAAGTAATGAGAACCGAAGAGGTCGTGACTAAATAACATCTGTTTCCGGAAACCAGGTGCGCGTTGAGTGCAGACCACACACCACAAGCGACGACGGCCTCCACAAAATGTACTTGTTTTCTGCCGATGAAATGATTAGCTAGTTGTAGTTGTGTCTATCAGTTGTCACTAATTACAACTATCATTTACCAACTATCAGCTATCACTATGAAACTACTAGTCGTCATATTTACCGGGAGGCCGTCGTCAATTGTGGTGTGTGGTCTGTACTCGACGTGTACCTCATCCTAGGAGCTAGAGGGTATATTCTATTGTTAGTCGCGGAAATTATGTTGAAACTAACCAGCTCCATCGTAGACTTTGACGGTCTTATTGAAACCAACAACATTCAGTTGAATTGTTTGTGCGTAAGCATCAATTGGGAAGAACATCTTGAAAAATGATTAAATTTGCAGTACAAAATAAACAACAACAGTAGTAATTGGTGTAAAAGTAGTTGGAATCTCAGAGCACCTGCATAGGATCCACACAATCAGGTTTGTATTGCGAGAAAACGATTCCGGAGGAGAACTGCAGTGGAATTAAACGCAGAGCCTGAACGGTGGATTTGATCGACGGCTTAATTTCATCTTCTAATAATTTCGATTCCATGTTCATAAGATAGCACCCCTAATTTTAGACCGTGAGGCAGCGTTTATAGTTCGCGATCGTCTATGCGATTCAACGACCAAGCATTGAACAATAAAAAAGGATACGTATTGATTAGGCGACTGAGCGGTAGGCAAGTAGGCAATTAAGCGAGCGTGTAGAGCTGGCGATCGTACATGCGATTAGGAAAATTAAGCGAATAGGCGATGATTAGGAAAGAAAGTATATGGATCGATTAGGCGATTAGGTGAAAAAGCGATTAGGCGAGTGGGCGTTAAGAAAGAATATGTATCGATTTGTTTGCTCCGCTCATTGGTGATGATCACGTATTTCCTAGTCGCTCTACTCATCCAATTGCCTAATCAATACCTATCCTTCTCTTTGAAGACTAATCGCCTAATCACATGTACGACCACCAACCCTGAACGTCATCCCAAAGCTGCATTGATTGGTTCGCTCCGCCCACTGCGCGATTGCCTAATCGCATACACGTTCGCAAACTATGAACACTGCTTTATGTGTGTGACAGGCTAAAAATTACCAGTGCTGAAACTGGCATGAGACCAAACGTGCCAGGTTGGAAATCGCGCCAAGGAATCGTTGCGGCAACGACCAACTACCTTTATAGAAGTTCTGGTCCCCCCCCCCCTTGTTCATTAGGTCCTCATCTGGACAGTGGTGTCAAAATTGCCATTGTGCCCAACAGGACCTGAGTATCCACCGACTGCGACAATATATCTCTCCAAAACTGTTGCAATCGAAAATCAAATGCAAAAGAAATCAAACCGGTGACTAGAGTTAGAAAGAAAATATATACGAAAGCTGAAACGGGACATTTTCTATCTATTTTATTCCCCAATCTCTTGATCTCATTTGATGGGCTTGTCTGCCGACCGCCAGAACCCAAATGCGCCCCCAATACCCCGTGGAACAGAAAAGCGGCAGTGATCTGTTGATCGTTCATCTTAACCCACCTCACACGTACGCAAGGGCAACGAACCTAGTGGCGCTGCGCACATGCGATGAAGCAAAAGCTGAAACTTGACTTTCCTGAGAAGATAATTCAACCTGTTATTCACTTGAGTCGGGGTATGTTGGCAATACCGTAGCCTGAGTAGAAGCTCTCAACACCCCCCCCCCCTTCCGCAATTATGCGCAGCCTTCACCATTATGGGTGGTCACTGAGGAAAAAAGACCAACAAAAATTTTGATCCTATTTTAGTGAATAGATCAGGCAAGAGTTCCCTCTTACACTGTGGAAGACTCTATCGGAAACAGGATGTTGTATTTCCAGTTGTGGTCGACGAGGTCAGGCCGAACAGTGATGCGAAGTCGGACTGAAAAGGAGAGTATACGAAATCATCAGTCTGACTCAAATGTTCTCTAATTACATTTAGCCGTTACGAATACTGCACAAAAACCATGAAAAGAATTTTTATTGCCAATGTGTTAACTAGTAGTTATTTCTAAAGTATTCAGGCATCCTCCGTGACACACTTGCCAGGAATGCTCAGTCTTCTACTACAGCGCTTCCGTATTCCGGTTTCCGGGCGGGAAGACGACTTCCACGTGTCATGGATAACGACGAGCGTTTCACGCTTCACGGTCGCGTGGGACGAGCGCGATTTTTCAACTGGAGCATATTTCTTCTTACAGTGAACCACGATGTTTAGAGTTACATGGATATTGCTTGTCGTTTATTTATATTTATTTATATTTTATTACCTAAATAAATTCAAAAATATTAAAAATATTCAAGCAACTCATGATAACAGCGAGTAGCAGACAATTATTCGCGGGAAGGCATAATGGCGCCATCGGACCACGAGCGATGCGTAACGACAGCATACTGGCGGCCATGGGCGCCGAATGTTGACTAAAATGGATTTGCGTGTTTGAAAAGCAATATGGCACGGTCGGAGGGAGTGGGCAGATTTACTAGGCTGCCAGTGTAGCACAGACAGTGTTGGAGCGGGTCGCGGATGGTAGACCGATGAAGTAGTTCGTACAGTCAGTAAAATTTTGCCTATTTAGACCATTACATTCTTCCAAGGTATCCTCCCAGCGCCAAGAATCGTTCATTTTTACTTAAAATTCAACACTTGGAAATAAAGGCTCAGGAATATGTACTTCCAGCTACAGTATCCTGAAAGAGACTTATAGAAAAACGAAAAGCGTATCTACATACATCGGCAGCGTTGCAAGCGTATCCCTTTTCGAGTACGTTGACGAAAGCGTTTACACGAAGACTTAGCGACCGTTCCCTCTCGTAGACCGTGTACGAGTTGTCGTTGTTGGTACTTGCTTGAGGAGACGCCTGAAATCATCGTTCATTACCGAAAATACTACGGATTCTGGTTTGTGGTAAGTGCTACAGTTCATCGTACAAGCCTAAGGAGTTATGAAATAGTATTTCAAATTGACAAACTGTGAATATTTCCAAGTATGAGCCTCTTCTTACGATTCCGGACACCAAATCGATGGCTTTCCATAGCTGTAAAAGCAAATTAGCACTTGAGAGTAAATTATCACAGTTATAAAGGATAAAGCATTTGCCGTTGATCAATCCCTTTTTGGGATGCGGCACGCATTCTACTTCCATTGTACATTCGTAGTGGCGTTTGAATGCGATGTGGCCTATACAATGACTTGCGGGGGCCAGCCGATGTACAAGTCAGTGTTTTTATCCTCCCAGACAAGTCTGGTACCAATTAACCGACCCCGGAGGGATGGAAGGCTTGGTTGGCCCGGACCAGGATTTGATCCCCAGCATGATAAGCACCGCCACGTGCCACTACAGTACTTCCGCCCACCAACAATTACGAGGGCTGTTTTTGTCACGTCGTCAGGAGAATTGAACCCTTTTAACTGACATGTCCTTCTTGAAAATTGATGTCGGTGCAATGGAAGGAAAACTAAGAGAAACGATTGAAACCCGCAGGGCTTGAGTCCGGTGATTTCCGCGCTGTACGAAATTCAACAGCGGCCAATATCATCAACATGAGTGGACTGATTTGGCTGTTTGCCAAAATAGTTAGGGCCCCCTAACGGAGAACATCTGCCGGTGCAATCAATTAACTGAAGGTGGTAAAAGTCCGAAGATATTCAGAGGGACGAAGAAGCCTTGCGAGGTCGTTCTGAGCTCGCGTTGGCGCCAGATCTCGTCCTCTTGAAGCCTACTTTCTTAAATGTTGAGAATTTCCCTTTTCCAACATACATTTTATCGTACCATCTGCCCTCAAAGTATGTCTAGACATAGCCATATTCCCCCAATCTCGTTTTTTGAAGAGTAGTCTTGTTAAAAACAGCGATTGCGATAGGCGGAGGAATTTAGAGGAGGTGAAGGGGTGCTCAATGGACGCCAATGTCGAAAGAAAGCAGAGAAATCCGAGTAAAACGCAAAACAAAATTGGTTTGACCCGTTGATCTTCGCTGAAGGACGGGGAACTGGTAAAGTGGTGGACGTATGGACGAGTTCACCGCAACGCGTTTGGTGGCACCATGCCAATCCATGCTCCAGTCGAGTTGCTCCAGTTGTGCCGCTGCTGGCAACGCAGCTCGTCCAAATCACCAACTAAACTAGTGGGCGGATCGCTTTTGGGGCGGAGTGCTTTCGAAGTCCTGCTCAGCAACCAGCGCACCTTCGTCGTGAAAGCGCCACACCTCGCTTCCTTGGCAGCCAAGTAACTGCTTCGTATGG